AACTTAAAGGCTCTACCCTCCTCAATCTGTTTATCATGCCTCTCCTTGTCTTTTGCATTCTCCCAATCAAGAATAAGATGGTGATCGAGTTCTTCCCATAATCCTTYTASGGTTGCAAAATATGTTGCAACTGTCATGTCTCCTTGTCTCAATGCAGCGATGTCTTGGTTCAGCCTATAAATTCTGGCATTGTTCTTTCTCTGTCCATAGGTTTTAGAGACTTTCTCCCAAATCTTAGCAGCAGTCGGAAAGTGTTGAACAGTCCTGGCCACTCTTGAAGTCATCGAAGCAAGCAGCCAGGACATAACAGTAGCATTTTCCCTATGCCATATTGCATACTCCGCACTACCCACTGTAGGTTCCTTCTGTCCATCCAGATAACCCATAAGATCCCGGGAAGTAATGAAGAGAATGGCTGAAACAGACCATTTTCTGAAATTATATTCATCTAACAGCACACTGGTGATCTGTAAGCTGTGCAGATTTGAATTTTCCAGATTAGGAGACCTCCCACCAGGTCTATTATCCCTAGAAGACACTTCTCCCGATATTGAAGACATCTCCTTCTTCTTACAGTGATCACAATTGAAAAACTCAGTACAAAGAGCACAATTTCAGACTTACTGAAGCTGTTGCAGGCCTGAAAAATCCTTGTAACAGAACTGAAACCAAGAACACTCCACTTCTGTACAGTGCTGAACTCTTCTGGACTGGACTGGACTTTGATTTCTGCTGTAGTAGACTGTGACCAACTGTACGAACCGAACTAGGACTGTCGAAGTCAGCCCTTCCACCTAGATCTGTTCCACACAGATCTCTCTTAGCAGCCGAATGGCTACTTCCTGCTGTAAGGTGTCTAGTAGGGCATCGATTTCTGGAACAAACTCCCCTTGGGCCCTACAACTAGGGGAAACCCTAGATACAGACCTTGCTGTGCTCTACGGTCAGCCCTAGGGTTCTTCACAGTGACCAAGACAGAAAAGAGAAAGGAAGAGAAAGGAAAAGAAAAGGGTCAAAAGGTTGCGACTGTAATCAGACAAACGAACCTTGCTCTGATACCATGTTTGCTGGATTACAGCAGCCGAAGAAGAGGGAGAAGAAGAAGAAGAGAAGAAGATCTGAGAGAGGCGGCGTGTCCTCTTTAGCCGACCTAACAAATTTATATAGATGATTATAAAATAATTACATGAACAGACTAGAATGCCCCTGATTAGTGATGGGACACCTAGACAAATAAAACAATTAAAACGTTAAACATGTTTGGGCCCAATAACTAAGAACATAAGACACTAATAAGACTAACTTAAACACTAATAACAGCCGAACCAACACTTTGTTTTGCTGCTCCTTATTAAAGTAGGAAAATAAGAGGAAAAAAGCTTTTTAAGTGTGCTGCAAGACACTCCCAAATTGTTCAAGAAGTGACATGCACTCCAAGTTTTTCCTCTCAGGATTACTAGTTAACTTTTTGGTGAGCATATTTCCATGTTTGTATTAGATTTTAACATTTAATGGCATCAATTTTATGTGACCTATGTTTCCTTAGTTATGCCAACTTGCTCTAATTGGCTTTAGGCATTGCTGTGGCTAGACAATTGTAAAAGTTCCCATTTTTGTTTCCCTTTGATGTGAAGATAGCATTTCTATCTTAACTGATTTCATTTTAAATGAAAGTTAAATTGGATAAAATTTGCTGTGCAGGTTGCGTTGATGCTTTCAGGAATGGGAACTTCATCAGCTGACGTTTTCAGAATGGTATGCCTTACTGGTTTTTCAAGTACTTCCAGGATTAATTTTTGATAATTGGCCTAACCTTAAAAAAAAAAAAAGAAAAACAAGAATATAACAACAAAATAATAGTTTCTTCTTCGATCTTTTTCCTGACAGACTGATTAATCATCAACCATTCACATTTTGATATATATAGGTTTTACTGTTTTAAGGGTCTTTGATGGTTCTCTTGTTTTTTTTCAAAGGTAATTGTCATTAACAGTAATTTTTTTCACTTATAAAAAACAGTATTTTCACTGATGGGGTAGCTTCTGTTGCCACTTTGTTCAAAGTAGTTTAAGAGGGACGAAAGAGCAATTGTAAATCTGAAGTATATGCTTATATGTTGTTTCATGTTTCTAGCTCTAGGATGGAAAGAATTTTCATTCACTAACAGGAAAGGATCAAAATATTGATATGTTCGACACCAAAAAGTGGGTACCGATGCATATCAATATGGCCGATACCCTTTGTTTATTTTTTTATTTTATAAGTATCAGATGCTTATACACCCTCTGAAGTTTTAAAATCCTGGAACCATTATTGTATCGGTGTATCTATGCATTTTGGGGTCCACAAATACTGATACGATATGCTTGTATGGGGTGTATCGTATTGATATTTCGATCCTTGCTAACAAGATGGCTCATGACATCACAATACAACCTGATTCTTATAACCATGCCCGGATTATGTCATAAAGAACAATAACCATGCATTGCTAATTATCTAAGGTCCCGTTTGGTTCACAGGAATAGGAATCTGGAATCGGCATTGGAATGGGCCATTCCGGTTCCAACTGTTTGGTTGGGCAGAATCGGAATCCCATTCCCATTCCTGGTGGAATGGCATTCCTCCATTTGAGGGAATGGCCATTCCCTCCCCTCCCTTGGGAATGAAATCCCATTCCAGCTGATTTCAATTCCCATTCCGATTCCTGTCTGAACCAAACAGACTATGGGAATAGACCATTCCGATTCTGGTTCCGAAGGATTTCGATTCCGATTCCGACTGTGGACCAAAAAGACCCTAAGACTTCCGTCTTGTTCTTTTACAAGAGAGGGACTGTCTTTAGAACTTCTCTTCTCCAATACTTACATTTTGGGAAAGAGAATCAGTTTGAAGTTCTGCTAGTGATGTTCCTACATGATTTGGAATGGTGATGCTACAATGATTCATCCTTCATATATGCCAACTTAATGAATTTGGAAAATCACCTCAATTAATGTCAACTGAATGAAATTGAATAATGGTGGACATCCAAATCATTTTTAGCTCTATGTTGCTTTTTCTTTGACATGGCCTTGGCATTTCTAACTTATATGGCAGGCAAGCATCCGTTGGGAAAAGAGGCAATCAAAAGTATTGGTAAGGAGTCTAATGCTCTACCCGGGTTTTCACTAACATCTTACCTCTACCTAATGCTTGGTTTTCACCTTTGATATATTCTTGGTGTTAAAGTAGATAATATTTAATAAGAGATGGAGAAGCAAGTTGACAGTTTGCTATCCAACAAAGAACGAGCAGGAGACTAGAAAGAAAAAGAACTCTTACTGTTAGATTAAACAACAAAGAGATAGCTTACATAGAAGAAGAAGAGAGAAAGATGAAAATAAAAGAGAATTATATGGCTACAACAAGAACCCTCTGAACCAAAGATTTATTCATCAAGTAATCTTCTTCTGAATTTCAAGTATGACTGTCTATAAAATCAATATAAGGGCTCAGATCTCCCTTCAAAAACTCCAAACTCAACTAGGAAACCGGCCCAAAACAACTTCAAATTACTTCAAAAACTAAAGGCAAAGCTTTATGTAATCTTTAGGGACTCTCAAATAAAGACTGACTAGTAAAATACCTTTATCAATCCTATTACAAATAAACAAACTGAAAAACAACTCCAAAAGATAAAAAGGGAAAGATTCAAACCGTTTGGTTTCATTGGATAGACTTCCATAGCTATCTTAATTATACCAAATCATGCAAAAAAGACAACCTTGTCACTTAAAAATTACACTGAAAGAAATATGACATGCTTCTAACTTCAGATTTTAAAACTCTATACTAAAACTATTAACTATTTTGACCCTTTTAACCAGTAAACCTTACCTCTATAACACTAATAGATTACAAAATAAATTAATAAAAAAATCAATATTTTGAATCTTTGATCACTCATTGGTGTAGGAATTAGAAAATTGATTTCATGTCACATGGACATTGCTCCCTATGATCCATGCATTTCATCTACTTTTTCTTTTCCTTTTCTTATTTTTCAAAGACATTTCTTTCATGTACTCCTTTGCAGGAAAAGGCAAAATTGAGAATGATGAAGCAAAAGGATTCTGATAAAACTGGATCTTACTGGAGTGACCTTTGGGGAAACCCAAAAGACTACCAAAATACAGGTATTGTGGACAAAATAATCAAATACTAAAGTTTTTGAACTTACCAGATAGGTGATAAATAGTTCTGGTTTGTCTATTTTCTTAACCTTCCCATGTGTTTAATTTGCATTTCATGGGGCCTTCTCTTTATTATATAGATTAATTGTATAACGGATAGTGTTAACAAAAAAAAAAAAAAAAATCTAGTACAGACCAGCCTTGTTCTACAATAATGCGATCTACTTGGTTAAATGCTGTATCAGCCTAGCTCCGGAGGATGCTGATCTGTGTGACCCAGGATTTCTGGTTAAAATGGATAGGATTCTGAATTTGTGGCACAAAATGATGTGATTCTTTCAAGTCTTTCCAGAACTTGGTGCTTCTCTTTTTGCAATTTGCAGCATTTTTGGAGAAACTACACAAGGTATAGGCTAGTGGGTCCTTGCAGAAGACTCAAATCAATCTAGGTTGCCTCTTTACAATAAAATCAAACCATTGATATCCAAAAAGTATTAATCAAGTGTTGTGTTGTTTTAGGCTTTTAGCCCCTAAGGCTGCACTGCCCACTTTGTTATGCCAAAGGCTAGGTCTGCATCCAGTCTACCTGTTACAAAACCCCGGATAGCTGGGACCATCATTGGGTAATAACCCTCTACTATCCAGAAACAGTAAGATTGTTACTAGATATATCGTAAAATGTAAGCCTGATTGGTGCATTTTATCAAGTTGAAAAGCTTCTCCCATTGAATGACAATTTTCCCCTGCTCTTGTAATTGAAGTAATCTTCTTCTAATGATACACCACCTTTAATGGATTAGGTTATCTCCAAGTAATGACCTTGTCTTCATCCCAAAGAGATACCACATATCTGTCGATCAGATCAATTTTTTGAGTGATGTTCATATATTTTGGTTGTGTTCCATTCTGCTGTAAAAATTAGAGGAGGGGGGAGAAGGGAACTTACTGTTTTTTTTTGGTAAGAAACGATTTGGTCTCGAAAAAGCAGAAACTGTAACTAGTATCATGCACATCTCTAGGTCTCTATTAACTTCTTTTTTGTAGCAGAGGACCTGGAAGAGAGAGCAAAGAGAGCTGCTGCTGCTTCTCGAAGATGGAGGGAGTACTCAAGGAAGGGTGCTGATAGACCTCCCAGATTCAAACTTCCTGAGGCAATTTCTAACCACAAGGAATGATAAGCTAATCTCGGTCACATATATTTGTTCCGAGTCAGCACATAATTGATTCTGTAAAGCTAATTATTTGTATTATTTTATAATCCATTTAAACCGATAGCCATTCTTATGACTGGAAAACATTCTTAATTAGGTTAAATAAATTGCAAAAGCAGTATTGAAGTATACAAGATTACTTACTATATTGCATCATTTCTCCTAGAAGGAGATGCATTAGAGTTTTGACACTTGACAGATTCTTGAGGACACTTCGATGTAACATTTTCTTTTTAAGTCTTACGATCTGTTTGGAAGAGCTGAGCTGAAGGCTCAGTTTAGCTGGTTCAGCTGCTTTGAAGTTTGAAGCGCTCCGAATAACTATTCAAAGAGACAGACCTTCAAATGACTGACTGACAGCCGTTTTGAGCTAACAGGATTTTTCACCAATTATAGGCTGTCTGTGTGGGGGCCACCTTGGAAAGTTAGAAACTGCTCCTGTGTTTCAGCCCCATGTGGGGCATTTCAGCTAAGCTTGTTCCTGATTTTGGGAGGGCTGAATGTTGCCTGTTTGGGTGGGATTTCATGTCCAGCCTGGGAGTCATGTTTGGCAAAAAAATCCGGAAAGCCCAAATAGGCATTCATTCAGCCGAGAAATTGACTTTCCCCTAAAGCCGATTTTAATAGGTTCTCCAAAGTGGTTCAATGAAAACAGCTCAATTAAAACTGAAGACTTCCCAAACGGGACCTTACTTTATTTGAAAGAAGCAACATATCAAGACCTCTTTTCACAGGTATATAATGCTTAGAGTTAATAAAATATAAACCATTTGAATGGTATGTATTTTTCCATGGACATGTATCTTACAGTCTTCAAGTATATGGCTAAGCTTGTATATGCATCTGAATTCATACTCCCGTCTCCGTTTCCATGCAACACTGCAAGTATATATGGCTTCAAGTCTTCAACTCAGGAGTACAGGATAGCCATCTTCAGAGCATTTGCAAGCCACAAACACAAAGCAGATTACAAATTTACCTCCAAAGACAGAAAAAAAAAGGAGAAACTAGTTTTGTTAAATCAATTTAACACTAAGGCTGTGTTTGGTTGCAATGCAAATAAATTTGCACTAATGCAAAATTATGATAGCCCAAATGATTTGAGTGTAAATTCTGACCTATTTTTGTTTCAAATTTTAGTTTATTTTGTTTGATTGCAGTACAAATGAAGTAAATTAAGACATGAAACAGAATAAAGTAAAACACAAGACAAAATTAAACGAGAGTTTGCATTTTTTTTTTCATTTGCACTTCCATGCATTTGTATTAGTGCAAATAAAATTGCATTGCAACCAAACACAAACTAAATGAAAATATCACGTCCAATCTTGATACTGGTAGAAAAAAGGGAGAAGATTTAAAGAAAAGGAAAAAAAAATCATCCAACAGTGTATAAATGTATAAAACTATAAATTCACCAACAGAGAAATTAACCAGTTAGAGCAAATGTATAAATTCATCCAATAGTGGATGCAACTGCATAAGCCCATGACTTGAGATGCTTCTTCATGGCCATGGCATCACTAAGTGGAGGCATCTGATGCAGCTTTTCAAGCCTCTGAAACTCACTTGCCTTCTCCATCTTTTGAAGCTCAGGAATTCCATCATGTAGACCAACCCCTGTGAGACTAAAACACAAATCACTGAACCCTTTGGCATGATTGTGTTCATTCTTCTTCTGATGCTTACCTCTTCTTTTTCTACTAGATTTGCAGCACTGCTTGTTTCTTTGACTCTTTTGTTCCTTAGATGATTCCGAGCTTTCCACCCTTCCTGTTTCTACTGGCTTCATTATCTGCATCTCATTTTTTAGAATCAATTCAATTGATTTCAAGCTTGTTTGGACCAAAATCTTGGCTTCTGAAGATTCATTCTGTTGTTTATGAAGGATTTGAATTGTGGGTTTGGGTGCATCTGTATTGGATAAATCTTTAAGAGGAAATGGAGTGCACTATCCATCACTAGAAAAGGTAAAAGATGGTGGTGGTGGTGGTGATAAGATATTGGAAAAGAACCAGAGAGAGTCTAGGATTTGTATGGTCTTTCCACCATCCATGAAAGCTAAGGAAGGAAAAGTGGAGAGAATTTCAAACAGAGCGGAGAAATAGATATACTAGGGTCTGGGCAATGAGAGATTGAGAGCTTCCCAAGTGACCGCAGCTTTGTTTGTTGGTGCATGTGGGAGACTTTGAAAGCTTCTGAGGTTGTGAATTGTGATTACTCTGAAGTTGTTTCTTTAATTGACCTAAATTAACCATACTGCGTTGCTACTTAGAGTATAGTATGAAGGGTTTTTTGGTCATTTAGTTGGACTTGGAAATGGGCTGGGATTCCTAGGTTTGAACTTTGACCTATTTTGAAAGTAGTTGGGGTTTTTTTGTAATCGCCATTTCTGGACCAGTAGTCCAATCCATTTACTCCTTTCATTTTCAGCTCTACATGTGTCCTTCACTACATTGATTTTCTGCTTGATAAATAACTATTACTATATTAAGAGAAAGCTAAATAATAGAAAGCATCATATAATAAAATATCCCTTATAGTTTCATGGATTTACTAAAATCTATCCTATAGCTAGCATTTTACTAAAACACCACTTATAATTTGTAATGGATTTAATTAATCTTCCATTAGATGACAGTGGAAAATGACTGTGTTTACCCTAATGTTCATTTAAATAAATTTAATCAAAAGAAAATAAAAATAAAAATACTATTTTTGCCCTTAATAAGACACAGGCAACCACTCTATTGGCTATATTTGGTCGATTTTTTTTTATACAAAGAAAGTATTTATGGTATTTTTGAAATAAAAATATGGGCCTATGGCAAAACAAACACTCCTTAATGAAAGGTTGATTAAGTAAATAAGTTGTAAAATATATGAGATGTTTTAGTAAAATGAAAACTATAAGGTAGGTTTAAGTAAATATGTAAAACTATAAGGTTGTAGGAATGACAATGGGGCGGTGATCATATTCCCCGTCCCCGACCCCAATTTTGAAATTAACCCCATCCCCGTTCCCTGACGAGGATGGGTTCCCCGTGGGGACCCGAATCCCCATCCCCGCGGGCGAGCACCTCAATCCCCATCCCCAACCTTGACCACGACCTTGACTGGGGATTCCTATCAGTCCTCATCCTCGCCCCCGCCCCCGCCCGTCAAAACAATCCCCATCCTTAACCCCATTGGGTGGGGGAAGTCGGGTCCCCGCTGGGGATGGGGAAAATTTTCATCCTAAAAAGTGTGTTCTAATAAATGACCCTAATAAAAATACATAGGAGTATACAATTGTTTTATATTTTCAACTTTTTAAATAATTAATAATTATTCATATTTTATATACTACTTTTAATAAAATTTTATAATACAAAAATAACAATAATTAATTTTAGTTAGGTTTATTTATCAAACTGAAGAAACCGACTAAACTGATTAACTTGGCCCAAGTTTGTTGGTTTTCTAGTATTTTAGGTTGGCTTTGGTTCAAAAATTTCTCAATTCGACCAAGTTGGATCAGTTTCACTTTGGCCATGGATATATATTAATATTTTATATTTTAAATATAGAAAAGTGGGAATTTTTCCATACTTCTTAGTCTAAAATGTTTTATATCATAAATCTAATTTTTAAATTTATTTTTTAATAATTGCACTGTGATTTTTAAAATTAAATTTAAATTTTAAGTTTAAATCTTTTGAGCAGATTGACCAAATCAAAAAGTTGACCCAAACCGTTACAACTTGAGTGGGTCGATTTTCACAAAAAGTTAGTTGATTTCAGTTGACCAACTCCCTAATTTTAGTATATATAATTATATAATAAATATAGATTAAGAGTTTAAAATTACTATTAATAAATATTAATTTTTTGAATGTTATTTTCTCGAATTATTACTCAATATAAGTGAAATTAATTATTTACAATATTATGTAAAAATATTAAATTATTATTATTTTCAATATTATGTTATAGTTATTTTTCTACTTTTTAGATTTTTTTTTAAAATTTATTACATAATTTCTTTATTTTAAATATTTAAAATCTAGTTACATTAAATATTTTATTATTTAAATAATTAAATAATATGTAAAATATTTAAATTTTAAAATATTGATTATTTATTGAATTTATATTTATATTTTAAATATAATTTTTAATATAGAAAAGTGGGAATTTTCCCATATTTCTTAGTCTAAAATGTTTTAAATCATAAATCTAATTTTTAAATTTATTTTTTAATAATTACATTATAATTTTTAAAATTAAATTAAATTTTTAAGTTTAAATCTTTTGAACAAACTGACCAAACAAAAAAATTGACCCAAACCGATACAACTTAAGTGGGTCGATTTTCACAAAAAGTTGGTTGATTTCAGTTGATCAATTCCCTAACCTGGTCAGGTCAATTTGATTGGCCAAATAACCTACAACTGAACCGAACCAACTCATGAATACTCATAATTTCAGCAAATTAATATCTTATCTCCGATAAATAACGATAGTTTAATCTCCAATAATTATTAAAAATTTATAGAAAAAATACACAATTATTGAAAATATATTGATAATGAAAAATACAATAATTATAGAAATTATAAAAATACAATAAGTACTAAAAATATATTAACTTAGTTAGTAAATAGTATAATTTCAAATAATAATTTAATCTCTAATAAATATTAATTAATAGCTTATAACAAAAATACAATAAGTACAATAAGTTATATTTAAAATTTTCAATAATAGTAATTTAATCTTCAATAACTATTGAAAGTTTTCTGTTAAATAACAAAAAAAAAAATAAATTTATACATAATCATTGAAAATACATTTATCACAAAAGGAAATAAATATTAATTTTAGTATATACAATTATATAATAAATATAGATTAAGAGTTTAAAATTATTATTAATAAATATTAATTTTTTGAAAGTTATTTTCTCGAATTATTACTTGATATAAGTGAAATTAATTATTTACAATATTATATAAAAAGATTAAATTATTATTAATTTCAATATTATGTTATAATTGTTTTTCTACTTTTTAGAATTTTTTTAAAATTTATTACATAATTTCTTTATTTTAACTCTTTAAAATCTAGTTATGTTAAACATTTTATTA